TCTAAATGTCAACGACAATTTTTTTAAACTATATAATTATAATGAATTAAAAACGATGATTATCTTCAGGAAAATAAAAATAGGTAGGTTCCTAGATAATAATAATAATAATAATAATAATAATAGCTACCATAACGCCCGAACAAAATCGAACTTAAACTCAATCTCACTCAAAGAACTAAAGAAGCATTCAACTAAGGAGAAGAAAAAAGAATATTAGACTCCATCAAGATAGCCGATCTTTCATCGAACATTTAAAACAATGGATCAACAATACTTCACACAAGCACAATCATGGATATTATAAAAAAAAAATTTAACCTAATTTTGTAAACCACTGCAGGCTAATAAACGATGTATTTGAAACCTTAAATAAAAAAAAATAATAATAATATCTGTATTCTTACTAAATAATACTTCTTGTATTCTTACGAAATAATATAGTGTTTTAAATAACATTAAAATATTTATTTTTAAATCACAAACATTTAAGAAAATACGTTTACAATAAAATGGTAGCTAATTAAAAATCATTTTATATTGTATAATAATGTCATTAAAAATATTATAAAAAGTATTTATACAAAAATATGATATATACATTAATATATTATATCATTCTGTAATATGCAGTATTATACTCCGTACTTTGAACTAGTTTTAGAATATTAAGAAAATACATTTAAACAGTTAATAATTTATCTAATTACATCAATAATTATAATATTATGTCACGTTAAACTATATTATGATAATCAAAAATAATCCCATCCAACGATAATATTTTGCTGAAGTTATATTTAAATACCTAATCTTGTACTGGAGTTGACTAGATATTTTTAGTTTTTACCTCAACATATTTTGATGATTCGATACACTGGAATAACTCCCTATTCTAAACACAGCTCGTTTTACCCGAAAATAGTTAAATTGTGTCAAATTGTATTCAATGTTTTTTTTTTCATATCTTGTTCTAGGTACTTTCTGGAAATGAAGTAAGACATAAGGAAAATGATTTTTTTTAAGTATCATTTGTATCCAATAGTTCGATAGTCTAAAAAAAGAATACTACATGTGTATATATGGATAGTAGGTAATTATTCATGTTTACTCAAAACAATTGCAATGAAACAGTTCACGCTAAAAACCCTAAAAATAAATATATATATTATATATATATATATATATATATAAATTGTCTTAACAGAGGTTTTTTTTTCGATTATAACATTTAAAAACAGCTGTTGCGTGATGTCAGTTCAGCAAAGACGAAATGAAACGGTCCACACTACCTCAGATGGAGTCAGGCGTGTGCTATTATTATCTCCGGCGCTCGGCCTCCGCAAAATCGTCAACAGCAGTCAGGGGATAGTGTAACCATAATAATACCATGGCCGTCGCGCGTTTTACAATCCAAATTTCTCTCTCTTCTCCACCGGAATACTTCCATTAGAAAGGTCAGCTCTTAAACAATTCTATAAGACTGCCAACAATAGAAACCACTATTGTAATAGCTATTTTTTTTTCAAAATTTCGCGCGCCCTTCGTCTTGAAGCTTTGAACTTTTGGGTTACATTCTATATAAATGATAATGTTTTTAATAGGAGGACTATTAATAAAGTCATCAATATATATGTATATATATATATATATATATATAGGATTAATGGTGTACTACTTTATTCTTTGACACTATAATAATATTCCATTAGCGATATTTGAATTTATCCCATGCCAAAACCAAATCTGCTTAAAATCATTCAAATAAAAAATCGTACACACATATATTTTTACATACATAAAGTTATATAAAAGCAAACACTGGTTTAATAATAACGTACGTCATAAAAGTCATATCATATTACGATTTGGCATTGAATATTAACATACAGATTTTACATATATATGCAGATTTTTTCGCCTCCTCAATTTCACGAATTTTATATGAAACTATTTGGTCAAATAGTTTTAATGCTTAAGTTGTTTTAATTCTTTTTCGATAATCATTACCAAATCTCTGTTATTTTAACAAAATAGTTTGGCAATTCATTCAAACAGATTAATTTTTTCTTATTATTGAAATCCCAGCCAGTGACTCATAATATATACAGCTGCCAACTCTCCAACTTAAAAATTTGGGGCAAGATTAATAGATTTTGCCAAATAGCTGTACAAGTTTGCTCTAACTCCAGTGTTCTCTTGTAACATTTTATAATACATAATTTTGGAGGCGACGTAATCATGTACTGAAATAAGTAAAGATGGTTTTCGATCATATTTGTAATGCTGCTTAAAATATTCTATGATACTATTTTAGTATTTTATCAACATCTACCCGTTTGGCATACCTATACGCTACTCACTGAAATCCTTTGGTTTACCAATCGTTCTCCTCTACTCTGTATTTATATTTCCAGATCAAGTTATTTTAAAAATAACGTATAGATGACTTTTAAGCTATACACCTGTGCGGTGTTTATAGTTACGTAGAACAAAAGTAGAATAATGTGGTAAACGGTGCACGTGGCGAAAGTAACCTAACCTCTTGGTTGTACATCATAAATCGCACACCATTAAATAAACTTATCTCATTAGATATGGGTTGTAATATAATAATGCAATAATGCAAAAACAAATGTGTGTCATCACGTTACTTACACCAAAATACTGCAACGTAGTCCTTTTCGTTTAACACCCGTTCCAGTTGTTTGGCGGTGACATCCTCGATTATCGGCTCTGCGTGGTCCTTCGGTCGGTACGCGGCTGCCGGCGGGTCTGGTGCCGAAGCCGCGGATCCGCTGGCCGGTAAGTCTTTTTTAGCGGTCGCGGGCTGCTGGAATGCGATCGCGGTAAACGCGATCACGGCTAGGAAGCCGTGCCACGTGAATCGAATCATATTAATTTGAAGACCGACAAATCGATGCGATTGCGGTCCGTGTGACGGTCGATACGGGCGGAGAATAGATTTCGTGTAGGTTAGGGTAATAAATAGTGCGAGGGCGTCAGAAAATGGCTAAAATCGAGAATGAGTTTTTTTTTTACGTACGTCAATACGTTGAATTAAGTGGTTAATATTTTACGATTTTTTTGTTGGAACGGAAGACTGGTACTGACCAGCAGCCGCATGACTAGCTAACGCGCGTACTGTGCCTGGGCAAATAGTCTGTTTGTGGACCGCCGCCGCTAATCACTCCTACACCCGTGCGAGCTTTGAGCAAGCACGAACAGTGTTGTACGGCCGCCAAGTCACATTCAATTTTACATCTCTTACAAATGCAGACTGATCATGCTATCTTGAAAAAACCAAATTGTGTAGTGCAATCGAGTGTATTAGATCTAATTTCACTAAAAAAATATATATATTTAAAAACGCTCTGATATCATGATCATCGAAACTCTAGTTGCAAAATAACAATTTTCCTGACATAATGTAAATCGACACACTGATTCGTATACTTAAAACCAAATGGTCTTGTTTCAGTTGATCGAAATATTCATAAATCGAAAACCTGTAGAGTTTATTTATTAGTTACTATTTATAAATTACCTATATTATTATAATTTTCATACACTTAATAACAAGTTCAACTCTGGGTAAACTTATATCGGCGCCTAATAGATAATCCTGAAATTTCACCAAGATTTTAAAATATTTGTTTAAGAGTCAAGGATGACTATAAAATAGTTGGCAAACACTTTGAATTTGAATTCACAAAAAGATAACATCATCCCGTCAACCTAATAAATTTATATAAATGTATAAGTTGTTTGATTTTTTAACTTTATATTTTGCACTTTTTTCTGAAATCACTTACACAAAACAAACTACTGTTATTTATTTGAATTTTGTACACTTTTTTCTGCTTATAAATAAAATGAAAAATGTATCTTTATGTTGTGTAGTACAATAATTAGAATTAAATCCACTAAACATCGTAATTCATAGTGTACAATAATTAAACATTTTTGAAAATAATTTGTTAAACTCGTGTATTGATTTCAAAATATAGGAATGTACAATGTTATTACAACATTAATTAAATATTTCAATGTATCACTGAAAAAAAAAGTACCTAGATCATATTTCTCAGCAATAACCCTATAATACAATATGGCGTATATAAGTATGGTTTCATTAAATTTGAGATATTGAACAAAAATTTACCATGGGAAACAAAAATAATCTGTAGATTTTTAAAATATACGTATGCATTATTCTGTATTGGCTAGAAAAGTTTTGATTTGATTTTAGATCAGTTTTTGGCCTTTCAAAGTCTTTTTTTATTTATTTTTTTTTTATTGAATTTTTCTGTTTGTTTTATTTATAAATAGATATACATACATTTATTTTTATTTAATATATGTATACATTTTATCATTTCTTTAAATTTAATATGATTAAACTTTTTGTTATACTTTGGTAAGTATGCTTATTCTAGGTACCTAAATACTTTTTGAAATTATTTTATTTTTGTAAGCAACTATGGACGAAAACTATCATACCTCAATATCTTATTCTCTACTATCAAAACTTGTACGTATCTATACTATCGAAAAAGTAATTGATTTGAATATTGGTGCAAATATTACAATCCATATTTTTTAGTGCCTGAGATACTGAAAATTGACCACAGCCAAAGAAATATGTATCATATCAATTGTCTATAACACAATAATGATATTAATGAAACTTATTTGCATTGACCGTCACAAATTAAATACTAAATAAAAAAAGTAATTAAATACTCGTACATATAACCTAACCTAACCTAACCTACCTCTGTATATATAACTGCAATAAAGCACGCATTGTGTAAACAAAATATGTCAAAAATATATTAATTATGACATTTATAGCATAATATTTTAAGCCATTATTATCGTATATATTGGCTTAGTTATTAACTTATAAATCGATAACACGTACCGAAGAACGGTGTGAATAGGTTCATGGTGTGAATTTGTTTTAATTTGTCTTAAAGTGTTAAAAATATATTTTATAAACTCAACAGCGAAATATCTTTATTCCCTATGGTTAATAATTATTGAATTACAACATAAATATCCAATTTCATCAAATGCAGAACTTCAAACGTCTAAAACGAATTGTGCCAAAGCATTTTCGATATTTTTCAATTGCTATAGGTAAGACTTTTTAAGAACCGTATATAAAATGTCCTAGTTTTTTGATTAAGCATACATTGTTGTATCAACATCGACTAAAAACTATCTGAAAAGAACTAAAAAAAAATTTCAAATTTCTACAAGTATAGCACAAAATATTTTAAAAGTCATATCATTTCTATAAATTCAAGTATAAAAAATTGGTGAAGATTGCATGTATCCGTTTTGAATTGCGAAAAAAAGAATCAAGTAGATTTAATCAAAAACTGGATTTACATAAATATTCCCTCTGTTTTTTAATTTTTTGTTTTGTTTTTCTCGATTCTTTTTTAAAAAAATACTGAACATTCTTTTATTTATGTGCTCCTCAAAGCATTACTGAAATTCAATTTTCTACCAGAAAACCACCCTTAACGTTGAAGATTGAAGCTATTTTACTGCTCCTGAAGGTAATGCCATGCACGCACACACATACACACACACTTGATATACTATTTCAAAGGACATAGATACAGCTTCACAGTTGCAAAACATTTTATACGGTTTCTACGCTGATGGGTGTATTGGTATTATTTTCAACGTTACATCACAATTCCCCCTCTTTGAAACGTATATTATAAATTACGATATTATGTATAAAGTGATCTAGTGAAAAGTCTTCATTTCATTTTAGTTTTCACAAATATTTAAACCTGATAAGATGTTTACTCATTCAAGAGTTAAAATTGCTATCGTTGGAGCCGGACCGGTAAATAATATTTATTAAAATGAAGTTATATGACATTAAAAAATGTAATATATTTTTATTTAGGTTGGGTCGTTGTGTGCATGTTTTATGGCAGAAAATGGATATGACGTTACCGTCTACGAAAGTCGAACAGGTAGACTATTTTTCAAGTACCTATTAAAATATGTAAATCCATTTCGTAGATAATGAAAATTACCTATTCTAAACCCTAATTATTGACGTAATGTAGTCTTTATATATAATACAATATCTATGGAGAATAAGTTTGTCAATTAGTATTGTAGATAGTACAAAACAATGTATCATTGCCTATTGGTATAATACCATTTTTATACTACTACCCATATATAAATCATCTGAGAACCTATGACCTATCTACATATGGGTACCTGTTATACGTTTCACTGTATTAGTGTTAGAATAAAATCCTTTTTTTAAAAACATATACCGACTGTACTACAATATAACTTAATATGTATTATTATAACACACAATTTTTTAAAGGTTCGTTAATTTTGTTATTTAAAAAAATTATCAACGCTAATAATTTTACAATGCCAAATGGACATTAGCCATGAATCACTTTCTCAAATTTAGTTTTCATCACATAACTCGGAAATATTGTAGAACTTTAACATTATTAAAATAAGAACTTACTATGAAATTGCAACACAATAATTTCTATGGACGACAACTTTCCTTGTATCTAATATACCTATTAACTAATACTAAATCAGTACCTTATCATAGATGAATACTTTTCGAAATTTTTGCAAGTAAAAGAAAGTATGCCTGACGGAAGTCTGCAATTTACACTAAAATAAAGTTATGTAACTTACACGATCTTAGGTAAATGAAAATAGTGTTTGTAATTTGCAAATTGCATCAAAATGAATATCTAAGTAGTAAGTACCTATTCGATTATCGAGTATTGATTCGATTATTTTGTCAGTAAATAACCTCGTTAGGGGCTTATGGTGACTCAATGACTCAAATAACAACAATAACTTTTTTTTACTATAATATTAATTGTTATACTTTATTTTGTCGTAAATTTTGATACTCGGATAGTATAAGTACCGACGTCGTCATTTATTGTCTATTAAGTTAATATTTTTGTTATTTTTCTAATTTGGAAACTTCTCATTTTCCACTGGTCGAGTAAATATGAAATTGTAACAGCATAAAATGAGTTTAATTTGGGAATTTTATTTGGTGTTAGTTAGTACCTACTCAAATCTCAGTATATCTTATACTCTACTTACAAAACGTGCAAGTAGTTTCAAAATAATAATCTAGTTGAATCGAATTCTGGTGCAAATTACAAATGCATTTTAAAAATGTTGATGCATACTTTAAATCTTGTTTATATTTGGGGTCAATATTGGTGTAAACTGATTCCACCCTATATCTGACATCTGGATTTGTCTCCAGGAAGAAAATTCTCTGAAAATTTTTTATTTGATTTATAACGATAGTATAATGAACACTTTAAATTAAATAAAACATTTAAACAGTAAAATCAAAATATTTTTTATGAATAAAAATAGAAATACGTATAGTCACATAAAAAATAAATAGGTATTTAATTGTTTAAATAATAACTCTTTAGAACCATCTAAGTTTGAATTGAATATAAAAATTAAAAACTTTAAAATCTATTATGTGTGCATAAATACTTACCCCCTACATATTAATATATTATAGAAAACCATATTATTACAGATATTAGACTTGATAAATCTACATCAGGACGTTCTATAAACTTGGCATTGTCGGAAAGAGGCATTAACGCTCTCCAATTTATCGGACTCGATAATATTGTTATTGAAGAACTAACAGAACCTATGTACGGTCGAATGATCCATTCAATTGATGGCCATAAATATAGCATTATGTATGATATTAACAAATCCAAGGTACCATTTTGTCTACATTTTTATAGTTACTAGTCAATATTCTTAAAAACTATAATTTTTATTACTAATCAAATATTGATTATTATAATTATTTAGATTATTTTCTTTTATTTGTAGCCAATATAAAATACATTTAAAAAGTCAGTCACCATTTTTTAAATAATCAATTTAATAGGATAATGAGAAAAATTGAAATATTATTCGAAATATTCATAGAAGCCCCAAAAATACTTCAGGGTTTCTTAAATTGTAATCCTATATGCATATTAATAAAATAAATAATTTGTGAGAGTTTTTAGTACAATTTTATGCTCAAAATATGTTAAATATTTGAAACATTTGACTAAAAAATACATCATACTAAATTGCATTCACTTAGAATCCAAAGTACTTGGAAGAAGTATTCTAAAATAGTTCCGTAGTACATACAATTTATTTAAAAAATAAAATGACTATAATTTGTTTCATAATGTTAAAAAATGTATTTTTTCTTTTGTACTAGCACTAAGTTTAGTTGATTAAGTCAAGATAAGTCTTTATGATAAGCAATAAAAAAAAAAACAATTAACTATAGTTGAGTCATTTAATATTTTCTAGTGTTTATACTCTGTTAGCAGAAAGGAACTCAATGAATTTTTATTAACAAGTAATTATCTGTTTAATATTTTGGTTATTTTAATAGCACAATAATATAATTACGTATCGTTTGTAGAACTAGAAAAATATCCAAATGTGAAATTAAACTTTTCGCATAAACTCGTCAATGTTGATTTCAATGCTAATCTATTAACGTTTCAAAAGTAAGTTTATTCCATGGTTCGATTTAATATTGTAAGAAAATTCGTATAACTAGTTCCAAACTTCTTTTAGATTATTAGAAAACCAACAAGAAACTGTGAAACCAGATATAATTATTGGATGCGATGGGGCTCATTCCATTATTCGTAAACATATGATTCGTTTGCCAATGTTTAATTATTCACAGACATATATAGATCATGGTTATTTTGAAATAAGCTTACCTTCAACTGCAACAAAAGTAAAGAAAAACAGAATTAAAAATAATATTTTATAATATAGGAAATACCTAACGATGAAAATGTTTAGGATACTTTAACTCCAGGTCATCTTCATATTTGGCCGAGAAGTACATTTATGTTGATAGCATTACCAAATAAAGATAAATCTTGGACTTGTACTTTATTCATGCCAATGGATCAATTTCCATTGATATTAGAATCTGAAAAGGAAGAGATTTTAAGGTTTTTTAACGAATATTTTAAGGATTTTATGGACTTGATTCAACCAGAACATTTATTAAACCAAGTGACAAATGGAAAAGCACGAACTCTTATCTCTATTAAAGTAAGCAGGATATTGATTAAAAAATTAAAAAGTACTACTTTTCCACAAGAGCTGTCGGCCACAAAAATGTACAATAAATGTTTATTTACTATTTAGTGTATATTAATTATAAAGGAATATCATCTGTTGTTTACAGTGTAATCCATATCACGTTAATGATAATTTCCTGTTGATGGGAGACGCTGCTCACGCTATTGTACCTTTTTATGGTCAAGGCATGAATGCTGTAAGTATAAAATAAAATCCAAAAAAATATGTTTTAAATGTTTTAATAAATACATATACAATTATACGTAACATATTGAATATACTGTACATTTCTTTAAATTTGAAGGGCTTTGAAGATTGTACAATTTTGAACCAACTACTCGAAGAATATGACCATGATTTAAAAACAGTTATTAAAACGTTTTCATCAAGAAGAATTGAAGATGCAGAAGCTATTAGTGATTTAGCTTTTTACAACTATATTGAAGTAATTGTATTTTTTGTAATGCATCTCAGAGACATCATTGAGTATTTTCCTTAAAGTCAAATTATAAATAATACATTTAATTATATAATTATACAACTTAAAATGTATAAAACTAAAAACTTAATACCACAATAGACTTAATAACTAGCTGTGTATTTAAAAGTTAAAAACGTGGAGAAGTGGGTATCTCTCTGCTGTACAGTAATATTGTCGAGCAGGTCATTGTAATAATGTAATGGGTGTGTTATATTTTAATTCAATGATAAATCATTGAATACGAAAAACGGCTCTGAGCGGAAACGTTATGTCATCCCAGCAAAGATACTTGTATAAATAACCAAATTAAATATTTGAAAAAAAATTATAAAAATCGAATTTATCTCGTGTTTATAAATAGCGTGACTTTCCGGTGCACTTAATAAAGGTAGAACAATTTATTTAGAATTTACTATTAGAATAGGTACCTAATTTTAGCTATGAAAAGAAAAATTTTTATGAATTTCTAACCGAAAAATAATTTATAAAATAAGAAAAAATGTCCAAGGCTATAGGTAAATAGCGCAAAAATAGTCAAAATATTTAAAAAATATTACATGTATGGAAAATGCTAGTGTAAATATTTTGTGAAAATTTCAAGTTTCTATCGTTGTAAGATTTTGAATAACAAAATATCAAAAATAAATTAATTTACTGCTTAATTTCAAATATCTTAAAAACTTTAAATTTAAACGCTCATAAAAAATGAATGATAAGTTTCATTAAACTTTCATTTGTTTATTAAAAGTAGAAAACATTTTGGGGAATCTTCAATTAAAATTTTAATGTTAGATATGAAAAGAAAAACTCTTATGAACTTTTTCCCGACGCTTTTAAAAACTTCTGGGAATTTTCAATTTCGACCTTCCGAATGAATTAAGTATTCACTTTTTATCAGGAAAAATACGGATGTCGAAAGTCGAATCATATTTAGTTGTTTCCCCAAATTTGGATGACAGAAAAAACACACATCATCGCATAAATACAATACATTCATTCTTACATTTAGAATCGCAAAAAACTTACTGTATAAACTACTGTTGATACTTACATTCAATGCATTTTCATAAATAAATTAAAATAATAATTAAAGTGTTGGTATGGTAGTATTTTTAGGATTTCAAGGCAACGGTGTTCTAAGACCCAAACTGCAATAAAATCCTAAAATACATCACAACGATTATTTATATTATTATTAAATACGTTTACTTTGTGCATAATTAATGACAAGTTATGGAATTTCAATAAATAATTATTGAATAAGTTTTACATTTTAAGTAGGTACGTTTATTAAAAAGGTATTACTTTATTACTGTATTAGGTACAAATAATGTATCTAAGATATTAGAATCTAAAAAATTCTAACAATAAACATATAAAGAGGAAATAAAATATATTTGAGTGGATTACAATCATAAATACAAACCTATATGGTGATGTATTTACAATGACGTAAATTCGTTCGTGTTTGATACTTTTTGCTGCAGACAATTTTTTAGAGTTGTTCTTAATAGTAAATTGGAACTAGTTAGTAGTTTGGGGGCAAAAAGTAAATAATTCAGATTACTCGTGAAATCGTGAAAGATATAAAATGTGATAAAATTTTCATCATATTAAGTAGTTCTGACTAAAATTAAAAATCTAAAATAGTACATATATAGTACAATTTTGTTTTTTGGATAAGTTAAAATTTTGTCGAAATTGGATATTTAAGCAATTTTAGCTATTTTGTTGTAATTCAAAAATGTGTTGATGGACTTAATGCAAATTTTTACTTATATTATTATGTATTCCTATACACTATGATATTTTAAGCTATAGTTGTCTGTATGTATAATTAATACGGAATTATACTATATATGTCTATATATATAATAGTAAAATAAATTACTATGAATAAATTAACTTATTAATATAGAATAACAGACTATCTCCATTCATTTTTCGTACCTATGCAAAAATGTATTATTTAATTCAAATTAAACGTATCCATTGCAGAGAGACCTCAATGAACAGGTATACTCAAATCCTACTGTACAGCAAAGCGGTTGTCAGCTTTATTTATTTTAGTTTTAATTTTTTTTTTTTTTAATTCTTCTCGAATTCAATTAGTAATTGGAATTAGCTAACTCTCATTATCCGATGTCCAAAAGAATTCGAGAAAACAACGTATAGATATATTTTACGATTGTTTTCAAAATAAACAAAGACATAACCGAATTCGACTAATTTATGATTTTTTACATATTTTTTACTGCAGTTATTAATTATTGTGACATATACTATGATAATACTATTACTTAATTTCTACTGAAAATCGCATAAAACTAATTTTAAGATAATTAAATTCCTATTTATAGATGCGTGATTTAGTTGCTCGTAAAAGCTTTTTGTGGCGGAAAAAATTGGATAACATACTAAATAAATGGTTTCCTCAGACGTGGATACCGCTGCATAGCTCGGTCTCTTTTACAACAATTGGCTATAAACAATGTAAGCTCGACAATCAGTGGCAAGACCAAGTAAGCACATTATAATTAAATAATTATTCTAATTAGTACATATAATGATTAAGCAAAAATTATGTTTTATCAGACCACATATTATTATACAGTATCCATCACGTACTAACGTTTTCGTTTAAATGTATATCTATATAGTAATTAAAATAATAAAATGTAGTTATATGTAAAAAAAATACATAGGTAAGTTTATTTTTTGTAGTTCGATGTTGCTTACATACTACTTGAAATCTGATAATGACATTTAAAATATTTAATTATTGTTGTTTTTCAGATTATATTTAGAATGTTTATTCTATTCGCAACATTCTTTTCCATCAGTTTGTATTTTTTTGCATCTATAATGTCTAAAACATTACAATAAAACCAACTACACACAGCACACATACATCAATTATATCTAATATTGTGAATATTGATCCAGATTACAATATTATGAACAAGAGTTATTAACTATTAATTAATATACTATTTATCAATGTACTCTTTCATTGCACAATGATTTCTATTTAGCGTCCATGCATACGTGTGTTGGTCCAATAAGGCACAAATCATAACATAAAATCAATATAATTTCAAGTAATATTAGTATCTTTTGCCATTGTTAAAATAGGTACCTTATAGCTGATACATAACAATTAATTTATCTATGCAAATAATAATAGTGAAATAAATTGTTAGCTTAAATTGTCTATGATATCAAATTAATGATGAAACACCATAAAATAAATAAAATATTCATGAATAAGCGGAGATAACTGTTAATTACATAAAATAAATTAAATATTACCAATAGGAAACTCACTTTTCACGCCACTCACGCCTCTTACAATTATAAAACAAATTACGAATTACGAATTACCTTCCACATTATTGTACGGGCCATTTTGTTTTAAATTTTTAATAATAATGTACAAAAATTGTAACATACCTAATGGTTCTCGAGTGTTACCTAATTTCTTGTCATAAAATATTTATGTCAAATAAATATTAGGTCAATCAAGCACATATACTATCAAATAAATGTGTTGTAAATTTATCTTAAATTAAAATGTATATTTAATGACCTCGCCCAACAATTATATCTTCTCTCTGGTTATAGAGAATACAAATTTGGAGTCAAGCCAAGCAAGGCACTCCAATATAAGACTTATATATAAGCTTTCCAGTCTATAGGACTTGCAGATCACAATAATAGTAAATTATATAGCAACTCAACAGTTGGTACGAAAATTCCATTCTTAACACAATTCGAACCAAAATATTCTAATCCTCGTTCCCTAATAATCACCATCCTCAATCGCCATCCTAACAATCCACCTAGAAGACTGAAGATTGAATAAAAATTATAATTGTATACATAAATAAATACCATTTGCTTACTGGAGCTTATCATTTATCAACCTTATTGCTGATGTTGCTGTTGCTGAACTATTTCCCCACTCATGAAAAATTACCTAAGTGAACCATTTCCTACATATTTCTAGGTACCTGCAATAATTTATTTCATATTATTTAGCAGTTTCTTTTAGCATCATTTTGACGTCGTTTTACGTCCACCAGTGTACGAGTTCATCCCCAGTTCGCTGAACACTTTAAGTGTCCGGCTGGTGTGTGTTCGCCGTACAATCCGCTTGACGTTATTTTATTATTATACACAATTGTATTTTACTATATTATAAGTGTATTGAATGAATTGAGTAATTATGGTAGGTATAATATACTTTATTCTATTATATAAATAAAACATAAGCTGAAAAAAAAGTAGACAAGAATAAACAGAAGCTTATAGTAATAATTAAAATGTATAATAAAATAAATGTATTCATTTGTTAATACAATTAATACACACTAATAATATGTCAATATAAATTTACCGTTCCCAGTGTATAAAAAAATATAATTTGACTTTCTGGTAGACATTTTTTATTTTTATAAAAGTAGACAAACTTATGAGAAATCTTGTATTAAATTTTCAAATCTTAGATCTAGAAAGAAACATTTTCATGAATTTCTAACTAAAAAAAATTGTATGAATTTTAATTTAAAAAAATAGACTATGTATTTAATTAATCTAGATAAGATAAAAATAAAAATGTTTTTATCTACCTAACTCATAACACTGACGGTAAGCAGCAAATCACTTATTATTGTTCCATTATTGATGCGCTCGTGGATATTTACTTCCGTATTTTGTACCACATATTTTATTTATATGTATGTCGATTTCGTACGGCCGTGACTTAATTAAAGCTTAATTAGGTGTGCTTAATCGACCATAATATTTATTTTATATATTTTATTTTTTAACTGCCCTGACAATCATCTTTATTCAAACAGCTAATAGTACCATTGTTGTACCAACGAAGATGTCATGATTTCTTTCCTAAGTCAAAGAGTTTCCAACATTTTGAGATATAGACAATATTTTAGTAGTAATTCGATGTACAAAAATCGAATTTTCGATGAGTAGTGTACGAAACTTAATTATCTAGAGTTTTTATAAGCGGAGCGGATTGGTACAAGGATACGCCACAAAATGCTGGTCCACTACTCTACTCATCAAAACTAAATGTTTATACCTAAGTTATAACTAATAAACTACTTACTTGACGAAATTGTATTTTTATAAACCAAAATACACCGAATAATATATTGTTTCGGGTCAAGAAATAAATTTATTTATTTATAAAAATTTAACATTTTATAACAATAAAAAAATAGGTTGTTAATGCATAATTTTTTTAAAGATTTTGTTTTGTAACTATACTTAAAATTATATAAAAGAAATATTTTCAAAATCGCTAGTATTTCTGAAATAACGAATCTCTTGCTATTATTATTAATAATAATAATAATAATAATAATAATAATAATAATAATAATAATAATAATAATAATAATAAAAGAACATATTTTGATAAAGTAGTGTTATAATCTTTGTATTTAAAATGTTGACCCAATGAAATGTATTATTAATTGAATGTTTTTAACTCTAAAAAGTTATCATAAACGTAATTAGGCATATTGTTGACCCAGTCTTATTCTATTTACCCTTCCATTCCATAATAAATAATAAATATCAAAACTATTGTATTATCAAGGAACACGATTAAGGAAAGCTAGCACTGCAATGTTTTCCCATTTATCAGTACATGCAATTCATAAGTGCAAACAACTATAGAAATAACACAATTTATTACAAACAATGTTAAACGAAAATAGGTGTATCCATCATTCGCATAAAAAATTGCCATCACACAGGGCAATATTGTTCCTAGCCAACGCTAAATACGTATCTAGTTACCATATAATGCGGTGTAGTTCTATAAGACAGCAAAACACATTTTGACATGAATACATTTTTGGGTTTGATGCACGATAAAGTGTTTTTAACCGATTTTTTGTAAGGTTTTCGTCGTCGTGGTTATTTATTAATAACAACGTATTTATGATTAATAGATTTTCCTCGTAGATGAAAAATATCGAGTTTTATTGAATGCATAGATACAGTATGCATCTACATAAATTCTGATTTTTTAAAATCCTTAAGATCAAAAATGGCTGTATAGTAGTTACATTATTTTAGCACACCTAACATGTTTTGTTGTGTAAACGGTCGACACTATATTTTAGTATTAACCTAGTAATTATATTATAGATCTTTTATAATTCATAACATCCTTACAGTCTCAAATCGTCAATCTCGAATTCTTCTTTTTCTTCTGAACATGTTACATTTTTTTTGCTCTATTTTTCACAATTCAGAACCTATAGTTATTAGTTAGTTTATTATCTAAATATTTTAACAATCAAAATCTATAGAATCATTTAGAACAAAGTCTCAAAGATATTTCCGACCTGTACCTACCTATTAATTTTGAATTTTGAACAATTTATGTGGCATAACTAATAAATTCTTAATAGACTTTCACTACTCTTTGTATTAAACATACTTATACAAAATATCAAACATACATTTTAATTTTAATAAGGTATTTACTTTATAATTCAATTACAAAAACAAAACTAAACTCAATTATAATTAAGACTCATTCACCTTTATAAAATCGGTAAATTAAAAACAAATAAAAAATGTTTAAAGGAATACAATAATAACAAGTAAATAGTTGCAACATTAAGAATATCAGATAACTATAAATTAATTTTCAGGAAAATGCGACTGTAAAAAATATTATATGACATAATTTATTTAATCCAATATCAACTCCATTTCATCAGGATGTTTCGAGTATTTTGTTTTATTTTCTTCGAATAGTTTAGTCAACTCGTCGATAAAAATACGGTGGTACTTCTCAATATCTTCTTTTTCGGGTTTAACAATCTTTGGTACATCAATTGGCTTACCCACTGAAAATAACATTAATTGTTGATTAAATTATATTGCAATGTCTTATCAGTTATTATCAAATTTTTGGGGTCAGAGGTTTTGTTTATTCCGTATGTTGAAAGCGAATAGTAAAGGGGGACAGAAAAGGAACTATTGCATATCAAGAAAAAGTAATCATTTTTAATTATTGGAGTTTAAATCCAATTTTATTTTAAACTGTAAGGTCAATATTTCTATGTAATTAGATATAAAGGTAGTATAGAATATAGTATATACTACTCATATAAGAATAACTCAAATTATTTTCATTCTTTAAGTTTAATAATAAATAATGATTCTGACGATATTATTAATAATAATTAAATATCAGTAATTGATAAAAAAAATATATGTTAAATATTATCTAGATCAGCCATATGTTATCTAGTTGGTTCCTTAAAGATAGATAATGACAAATTCATTAGGGGCCAATTTAAATTTAAATCTCCCTCCTCATTAATTATTGATAAACATAAATTATATTTTATATTTTATTTCTTCCCTTTAAAGTTTCAACAATTCACCAACACAGTCAATGGTCATGGTAGATTAAAATGCATAATGAAATAACTCAAAATGAAAGTAATTCATAGTTTTTTAAAAAAAATGTTATATAGTTATTCTATTTTATATTTGTCATTAAAATGTAGGACTTAGGTGTACTTACATGGGGAAAATCAATTATGTGTTCGAGCATCTTGGAGGTCAATAAATTAATTGTGATTATAAAAAATCTATTTCTAAACTAATTTATATAGTTTGTATTAGGTACTTTCATACAAATATTTATGATGTATAATAAAAAATTCTGATTTGAAGGTTAAATTAAGTTATAACTCTCAACTAGACTCGAAATGAAAATAATAAACCTTTAACATCATTGAAAGAGGCATTAAACTTAATCACATAAGGAACGTACATAATAACTTAGATTGGTTATAGTAATCATATTTCTTGTAGTAGAACGAATTTACATAATTATGTAACTATGTTTGTATTTATGTTGTAACTAATATTTTTTTCCAAAATGACTTAGCTATTTTCATTATTTCATACTACGACTAAAATAATAATACATAATTTATTGCTCAATTTTACGAAATATTTTTTTTTTAATCAGAAAGTCATTCATTTAAAAGCTTTATTCATGAGGGAATAAGACTTACACAAAATATTATATATAAAATATATATATGTCAATAAATATTTGTTTTCGTTAGATTTAAATCAAAAACGTTTTCAATTACATTCAACTACGACGGATCAGACGTCAAACTTTGTAATGATTACCAGATAAGATGTCATTCGAGTTCACGGGTCTCGGGGCATAGCCGTTTTCGAACAAAATCATACCATTACATTTTCTATTGGTTCACGTTTTGGCCAAAAGAAAAAGTTTAATAATATATACATTATTATAGACATGTATAGAAAATCATTAAAAATATAAGTTATATAAAATGTGTATAATATATAAATAAATGATAATTAATAATAATATCCAGCATTTATCAATAATTATTTAATAGGACAATATATATTAACATTATCTCTATGTTGATATAATAATATATCATAAAGATACATACTTATATGGCTTAAATGTGTATATATTATATTACTCACTAAAAAAAAATAGTATAATAAAATATACTAAGCTTTTTGGTTTGACCGAAAAGGGAAGGGTAAGGTTTTGGTCGGAGAAGTGCTCACCCGTAATTGGCACCATCGTAAGTAACCGAAAATAGTGTTTGTAATAATTTGCACTAAAATGAGTATTTTTATATATATTATGTACCTACCTATTCGATTATTTGTTTATTTATTTCGTTGGAATCTTTGTTGACGTCGAGACTCATGGAAATTACAAACTCTATTTTCGATTACTTACGATGGTATAAACTACACCTCTTATTTTGGTGCGAACTGTAAATCACAAGTAACATTTTCGACTACCTAAGGTGGTATAAATTTAACAATCCCCCTAATATT